GCACAAGATATTTTGCTTTGCAACCGTAAGTGATCTTCCACAAGCATTAAAATGACAATTGCATTCTCCACTAAAAATACAGAGAGCTGTGCCGCATTTTCTGCTTCTGCTTTGGCATCTTTTGGTGGCAAACCTTCAGCAGCAACACCAGCAGCTGCTGCTGCAATAACTTGAGTCTGTGGCAAAAGTTGAAGTTGGTGTAGAATTATTGAAATTTTCATGATAATTGAATCATAAAAAAGAGGAATGAACACTGTTGTTATAGACAAACATTCATATCTTCTGGCAAATTGGCTATAACATGTGATCCATATCCACAGCCCTCTTAGATATTCAAACTTCTTTTTATGAAAACTTTGATAATTAGCTAATGGAAGCTAACCATATCCCTGCCTCCTATCAATTCAACATAATATCATGAAGTGCAGTCTTTTATATCATGCAAGATAAAAATACAGCACAGATAAGGACAAGGTATTACCTGTGACTGTAATTCTCTGGCAGCAAAATCCAGCAAGCCACCCAAGAGCCTTCTCTTAAATATTGGCAAAGATTCTTCACGCCTTCAAAAGATAACCACGCGGGAAAATTAGTAATAAAAAATTAGCCAACATACTTTTTTGCAAAAAGTTTCTTTAGTACAATTTTGTTTCAGACCTCTACAAACGTAACTCTAGCATAGCATCCAAATGCAGACTCTAAACAGCAGACACAAGTTTTGGTTCATTTAAGGACCAACCACCCTCTGGCCGGCTCTTGGAAGGGCATGCTTTCCAACAACCTGGAGGTCATAATTTTATATATGATGGCCACAAAACAAACACTATTTCCAAAAGTATTACCCAGTTCCATTCTAATATTGAGTATTAATCAAAACGGTTAAACTTTTTCCATCAAAAAAAGAATGGTTAAACTTCAATAAATTTTTTTTTTTTTCTGGGAAAACACCTCACATACAAGTCAGATGCTAAGGCTTATTACAGAGGACATTGCATATGGATCTTTTACAGGCGATCAAAGCCACTGATTTGGTGAGTTCATCATGGTGCAACTCAAACACGTTTAACTGTTGCAAAACACAATCCTAATGGTTTATTCCTTGGCTTGACAATGTCTCTTTTATACACATGGGTGTTTCGTGTAAAGACATGCTCAATGCATGTCAAGGAGCAATGTTAGAGCAGTTCTAGAAAGGTCAGCTAAAAGAAAAATGATATCACCGGGGACAATAAGGGCAACAACTACCATGAGAACTCATCCAGTATACCATCAGTACAAACTAGAAGAGAGAAGACAGTCAGTAATAGACAGTAATACCTAATTCTCTGGTCTCCAGTGCAGGAGCCACCAACAATAGAGAGCCATTCCGCACAATGAATTGTAGCTTCAATATCCTGTACAAACGAAGGCAGTGAGCAGACAACAAAAATGCGACTGGTAGTACTTTGAAATTAAAGGAAGCATATGTAATCAACAAAACAGTAATTTATCAAAGAAACAGATGGAAATATAAAACTTCACTATCAAGAAAGCATTTTAGCCAGGTTGGTAATGCACTGATGATGGCCAGTTTTCAAGAGATTATCTTATCAAATTTTCAAAACTTGGATACAAACCAAAGATGCTAAAATCTGAAATTAATACTATTTATTTACTTTAACTTAAGCGCATAATTCATAATTTGTGTATTGGAAATTGATACAAATCATTCAACCACACTTGAACTAACTAAAGTATAAACATTATCAGAATGCTTGAAACTTATATCAGCACTTCATGCATCATTCATATATCAAAGAAATTCCAACACTTTACATTCCAGTTTACAGAAAAGTAGAAAATAACAAGATATACAGAAGAATCTATTATAGGCAGGACTTAAGGCATAACAGCAACATAATTATCACAGTACACAATGAAACTTTCTATGCTAGAAGTCCAGAGTGCAACTGTACAGAGAAAACTTATTAACTATGAAACAGAAAAAGATGGGTAAAACCCAACCTTCCATCCATCCTTTTGACGCATTGAGTGCTCCAATATTACAGTCAGGAAATTGTATATGAGGTCCTCTATGTCTTCTAAGCTTTCCGAATTAGACTGTTTCTTTGCATCCATCTGCAAAATCAAGTCAGGCACTAATACCCAAAGCAAGAAAGCATACCTATGCAAACTACCAAAAATGGTCAAAACTACTTCGATAACTGTAGAAGTATCTAACTCAAACCAGTTTTACTGATCATGTTTATACATAATGAAAATCAAGAGAGATGTTAATAACTTAAAAATAAAAATAAAAATAAAAACACACACACACATTAGACAAACAAATTAAAGCTCGAGAAAATTACCTCATAGTTGGAGATAAGGACCTCTAGAAGCCATTCAGGCCATTCCTCCATTTTAGTTAGACTGCTTCTATTCTCAGGATGACTGCAAGCCAAAAACAGAAGATCCTGAAATCATACAGAAGAAGCAGCTCAGAAAGTATAATAGGATGTGAACGATTACCTCAATAAAGAAAACTAAAAATGATAGGGAAGGAAAAAAAATCAGATACAGTTCAATTTATCACAAGTATAACAAATGTTACCCTTGAATTGCATCTCAGGATGGCTGAGATGACAGAAAACTCAGTTGATCAAAAACAAGAGATGAATCTAATCATGCCATAAAACAGAAAATGGTGACTTCTTAGAATTAGGTAAGCAAATGCGTGGTTACTTATTTAAACCCTTTGTACAAGATGTAAACTTATGAAACTTGAAAAGATCTCATGCATTATCAACAACCATACAGACCCTCACACCAGTGCCACACCCACTGGATAAACAATACAGACCTCTGTCTTCTACTCCATAATACGAGATAAATTGTTATTACAGAGATGAGACTTGCATTGTGTATCATGAAACATATAAATGATGCATTTCTCAGTCTCCCATGAATATATGGGACAACATACTACTACTATTAGGAAGGGCAACTCAATCCCTGCACACTGAGAAACATAACTACCAAAACCCCTCCTCTTACGTCATCTGACACTATATCAAGGATTGTCTGATCACCAGAAGACATCTTTTTTTGTCAACAATCACAGAAAAACATGCATGCAAATGCATGCTACAGCCATGCACGCATGCCTGTACTCTTGATTTCTCAGGGAAGCATAAAGAAGAATACAACATGCAAACAACAATATGAAAACATTGCTTAACGATTCATAATTATATAATAGTATCAAACCTTGGTTTAATTTGATTTGAAACAGAAGGAAGAAAAACTTGCTGCCAAAAGATTCAGATTGGCATACCTGTAGCATGCGGCTCTGAAAAGCTCCAGAAGCATATGGCAATGAACGCAATAGAACTAACAAAAGTTGCATGTGTTCAAAACAGTGACCAGAGTCACGAAAGTTCAACTCATCTCTGGTTGAAGAAGCATTAATCTGTGGAAGAAAGGGAGGAAGAAGGGGTTTAAAAAAAAAGGGAAACAAACTTCAATATGCTTCCCATAGGCAACATGAAAATGGCCAATGGCCATTGTATTTTCAAACTATGCAAGTACAGATATCAAAGCTGATTAAAAAAAAAAAAGGTACAAGATATCAAAAGAAGCTAGCTCATCTACAATAAAGGGAAAGTACCACAGTAATAATTGCACTGAAATATTTGAAGCACATAAGATAATAAAAGGACGTTACAAATTTGAATCTTGAAAACAGGAGGAAAAATGCCTTTAAGAGCACGCTTCCTTGCAAATTCTAAAGTCCTATAATAAAAGCAGGTCAACATGATCTCATAAAGCAAGAGTATTCATTCAAAAAAGTTAAAACCGTTTTCAATGTGCTAAAACAATCTTAATGAACAATGACAGGCAACAGAAACATAGCGAGACTCTGGGCATCAGCCAGAAGAGTTAATTTCAAGCAGAAAGCATATCCTACATGGATAAAACTTCTAACAAAAGAAGGAAAAAAAAAACCCTAACCGAAAACAAAAACAAATGCTATGTTAGATCAATAAGATCTTAACTGATAAGACAGTAAGAAAATATTTGCAAATGCTCTTTTGCAAAAACATCAATTCACAATAAGTCCATGATTAAAAAGAAGATTCATTTACCGAGGCCCCTAATATAGCAGTGTACACATTGCTTGTCATAAGCCTATTTGGAGCTGCTTGGAAAGCCTTTCGCAAGGCAAACAACAGAAGAGAAACTTTATCATCAAACATGGTCCCACCTCCATCATTGAGTCCATCATCAAAGAGGCTGCTTGTCATTTCTGAAGGAGCATGTGAACCAAATTTTAAATGCCCGTGTGCTACCAAAGCACCCAAGAGGCCAGTGATCCCAACAACAATACCATCACTTTTGTCAGTATTGTAAACATTATTCCTTGCATTTTCAGCACTAATAGAAAGACTTATACCACCTAAATTCTTCACAAATTGATTTTCGGAAATTGATATCAACCTTTCAAATTTCTTGGTTGGTGAAATGGCAGCTGCATTGCTATCTCTATCAAGGGGTTGAGATTCACAAACTTTCTCTTGTGAAACTTGATCCCCCTCCTTAAGAGATACTTCATCCGGACTTCTTTCCAAAACCCCAGAGCCACTATCTTCTTCTTTTTCAGTTCTCCAAACTACCAAGCTTTGAGATTCTGGGATGCTATGGTCACCAGCCTTAGCTTCTCTTTGCAGAAGGACCAGAAGTGTTTCTATTCCACCAGAACCTATGAAAGCCTCTGCAAATGTCTGAGCTCTTGTTGCATTTGGCTGTACCACTAGCCTATAGATCAGATGCAACACCCTGGCCACCTGAAAGTAAAAGTCGCAAGTCATTTCTTATGAAACTACAAGAAGATGACACACAACCTCTGAATATCAGCCTCAAATGTGAAGCATGTATATCCACAAGGCCAAAACCTCAAAAACCTGTGCCTGAATCTCCCCAGATCTCTAAATGAAAATTCTCAGCAATCAAGAATAATGAAAAACCAAGCATCTCTGATAAAAAAAAAAAAAATGAAAAATCAACCATCAGAGTAGTGATTTCTCAACTGCCAAAAAAAGGGTAGTGATTTTCAACTACAATATGCTTATTTGTCTTCCTACAACTACCATGCACTCTGTTTTCATGCCAGTGCTTTCTACTTGAAAAAACAATCTTTTTCTCTCGATGCATTTCCAAGTTTGCATGGCATAGGAAGGAAATTATCATAAAAAATTTGTTCATATCTTCTCCTCAATTATCAGTTCACTGCCACATTCACTATGACAGTTGTTTCAGTTCCTCAATCTGATGTTGCCTATGATTTTTTGCTCTCATTTATGTGAACTTTTCTTAATACAGACAAAAGGTGTATAATCTACTCTATTTTAAAAAACGTGTAGAGGTAAAAAACTTCACCTGATTAGGCTGTGGGCAGTCAACCATGAAACCAAGCAGACACCGGACATCATCTGCAGCAAATGAAGGTGGTGCTGCTCCTATTAAAAGTTCAATGACAACTAAGAGCTCATCTACCAAAGCATTAACTTCACCCATAGGACGCGTATTATCATCAAGAGAAAATGTATCCACAGAGTCCTTTTCACGGACTGTCCAATAGCACCTTCTACAGCCATCAAGAAGCATCTGAATAGCATTCGCATCCCACATGATTGATGACTCCGTGAAGACCATATCTGCAAGTGATGAAAGAAGTTTCTTTTGCAACCCATAGTCACATAAACTCCAAATTTTAAGATCTAGAAGCAGTGTACTAAAAAGCTTCACTTTAAGTGCATGATTGATCTTCTGTGATTGACATAGAGAGGCAACAGCTGCAACAAGCTCTTCATCTCCAACACACTCATGTTTTCCGGAATTTAGAGAAGATAAAGTTTGTAGAAGATAATTTAATATTTTGGACAGAATCTCAGGCCCTCTAGTCCTACACAATTCTTCATTGTTCCCAGGATGTTGAATAGCCATGGAAATGATTCTGAATACTGGTGCAGCAAGAGATGCTGTAGCCAAAGACAAATGAATACTCCCCTGTTCTGGTTCCAGGCTATCTTTACAAACCTTGCTTACAACTAAAGGAAGTAAAGATATAGGCCCCCCATAAGCTAAGGCCCATAAAGCCTCCACAGGCCGCATTCGTGTTGCAACATGAACTTGCCCAAGAACCTCTGCTGGCCGACGTGACATACCTGAATCACAATTAATTGGTAATTTAAGCAAGAAGAGATAAAAAGAGACATTAAAATGCTGAGTAAAAAGCATTTGATCATTTATGTGTGGCAACAGCACCAGGAGAGGAGATTGGGATGGAAGTGGGGAATGGATTCAAAGACAAAACAAATAAAGTTATGACTGTACAGCTGAAGGCAACACACAGAGGAAAAGATAAGAAAGCCATTCTTTCTGCACTCTTTCTAGGATTATTTACTATGATTCACAAAGAAGGATTAAATACAAAGAGTAAACAAATACGAGCAAACTAAGAAAAGAAAGGCATGCACCAACAAGTGCTCAGTCGAGTAGGTATCACTAACTTAAAAACTTTGATTTGGGGTCAAAGTCAGGGGTTTAAACCTCTGTGATGTAGCGTACATGCTGAAAATCATATTACAGAAGGAAAAACCATAACAGTTGCATAATATCAAAGGACATGACTCAGTCTATGTGATCCTATTCAAAATATTTTCAAAAAGAAAAAAAATTGTTCAGATGTTTCAATCACCTGAAGCACCAGCTGGCGAAGCATCTGGACAGAACCGTCCACTCAGTAAACTAGGGTGGTAGAGTAGATGAATGCATTCTCCAATTTCTGCATCCAAAAGAGAACTTTCCTCTGCCCTTTTTTGCATGTGGTCATTTGTAGCTAACCAAGGAAGGCCTGCCCCATTACCAAAAGAGGGCAACACGTCACCTCCTCTAGAAGCCAAACGTGCCATTCTTTCTTGACCAATAGGTTCCTTAAATATATATATAGGCCCCATCTCAGCAAACAAAGGGCACTGACGACGACGACGCTGCAATCCCGCCATCGTAGGAGGAGGGTTTGTCCCAATGCAGCAAAATGCTAGTGGCTTTGAGATGCGAGGGAACTCAAACAAACGAGTTTCATACAGAGATCCATCGATGTATAATCTTAGTTCACTCTCTTCTTTCCCAATAAGTCCATGCTTGCAAATATGCTCCAGACCAATAAAATACCAGCATTGAGGCTTGAATGCATGAGTAAAATGTAAAGAGGCCTTTCTTCCTTTACCACTTCCATATTCAACCACCAAAAACTGTGCATGAAAATATGCTTCTAACCCCTGATTATCAGAAGATAAGAAACTAAATAAACGAGGCATGTGTGCTGTACCTTCGCCAGCGAGTGCACTGGCCGCAGCTGCAGGTGACATAGCTGATGATTTCCCAGACTTGGCTGCTGCAGCAGCAGCAGTTGCAGTGTTTAATGTGTCTGCAAAAGATTCAACATAAATCCACGTGGCAAATGCATACCCATTGATAAATGGCCAACGGCTTTCCCCTGGACCAAGCAAACCAGAGCTTTCACCATCAAATTCAAAAGTACATGATGGTCCTTTTGACTCCTTTCCACACACAGCCTTCTCCAGTGCACCCATCAAGCGAGGTGCCCATGCAGTAGTAAATGTTTTTGTAATAACCTGAAGCCATCTCCGTAAGTTAGCACCATTGAGCGAATGTCCAGCTAAATATTGCATGCAATAGCATAAAGGAGCTCCATCCCATCTCAACTGCACTGTTGATCCATCATCTTGAACAAAAATATTCTCAGCTGACCTCAAAAGAACTCCTAATAACCCAGCAGTACAGCACATTGCCCTGTTTCTCGTGCAAGACCGCAATATAACAAGCAATCCTCTAACCATCCGTGTCCTAGGGGACATAAAAATCTCACTGTCTCCAACACAGGGAAGCCAGGGAATAAGTTCACCAGCCACAATTGCTGCCCTGGAGTTTAGCATCACACTAGGAGGATCGCTCTCCTCATCCTCTTCAAAACTTTCGACTCCACCCATCGTTGCAAGAAGTGAATCAACAACTGAAAAGGCAATGCTCTTTGGTTCCTCTCCACTTCCAAAAGTTTCAGCCCCACTAACAATATTTTTCAGCTTCTCCAAGC